TAGTGTGTGACGTGGGGTTCGGAGGATGGACATGGACGGTTCGAACGAGATGCGGTTGGGAGCTGTCGAGTGGTTTAGCACCGCCCAGGTGAGAGCGGCGGCTTTAAGCCGGATGGTGGCGATGTTGCGAATGATTGTGACCGAGAGGAGGGTGCCATCGATGTCGTGGATTCGGAGTGTCCAGCAATCCATGCTGGAGATTGTGTGGGGGTTGGAGGAGGGGCCGCCCCCCCATCCGGAAGCACCTACAGATCGGCCACGATTTCAGGCACGGATGCGGCGCTGTTGCGAAGAGCTGGAGGAGGGGCAAGGTCTCTGCGGCGAGCTGGAGGAATGTTTTTTTTGAGGACGATGACGATATCACGGCAGACCCTCACAACAGCAACACCAGTGCAGATGATGCCGCCAAGATTGACAGCGGTGATGGCAATGATCATTCCTTCAGCATCGCTCGGATCTACGACAACGAAGATGGCACTGCGGACGGTGTTAATAACGGTGCAAGCATGACCGGCAACTATATCGATAACAATTTCGGTGCAGTCACCTACGGCATCGTCGATAACTGCAACAACAACGCTGGTCGTGACGGCACTGCGCACAACAACAACAACAATAGAAACAACAGTGATAACAACAAAGGAGTTGATAACAACGGGGACATCAACATCAACAATAATAACAACAACGATATGAATTACAAAAACGACGGTGCTTATTAAGGGGTAAGTGAGGTTGGGCAATCTCTTCTATTGCGCGCCGCCCCCTCCCCTCTTCCCCTTCCCCTCCCCCCAGATGTCTTCTTCTGCTCTTCGGCTGTAGTAGAAGGGGGAGATGGGCGAGAGGTGAAGGTGATCGGGTTGATTGGAAAACAGGAAGGTCGGGATTGGGGGAGAGGAGTGGGATGGAGGCGTGAGGGGGTAGGATAGAAGAGTAGCAAGTGAGTTCGGGATTTTATCCGCTAGCCATGTGGAATTGTTGTTCTCCCTTTCCCCTATAATAAGGATTTGGCCACGTGTTATGGCAGGCGGGGCATTAAGGATTGGCACTGGGGCGATTGCCGGGGTTGGCGGACAGATGACGGTTGGCGCCATGCTGCCTGTGTGATTGATTGGAGCCCTGCTGCGGGTTTGACTTCACGCCCACAATTAGTTAGGATTCGCCACGTGGCTATCTCGCTATCAAGTTTGCTACATACTGTCGCCCCACTTGAGCGGATTCGTTGATTCCGATAAGGAGGGTGCACGTAACCTTATATAAGGAATTGCAATAGTGGAACGGACTTTCGTCCGAGGTGTTTCCTATAATTGATGTTTTAGCCCTACTTCTAAATACCCGTCCTCTCCGTCGTGTTGTGAGAGTGATTTTTGAAGATGCTGAGGAATTTAGAATAGGGATATAATGACTTTAGATTGCGATGGCCAGTTAATCCCCTCRGTTGAGGGCAATCAATGCTGGTCATCGGATCAGTGATGTGTGCCTACGTGTCAATTCAGGTGTTAACTAATCTATAGTACAATGGACACGTGGCATGGCTATTAACTGCTGGATTTTACAATTTTCGCTTTCCTGAAATGGTAAGGGACGCTGGACCCGGTTTCCAGCAGATGTAGCTCCCCACCAATAGATGGAGCCTCCCTGAGCATGCTAGTGGTGTCTGCTCTTATCAGCACCCCTAGCACTTACTCGGGTTGTTCTTAAAAAAAAAAAAAAAAAAAAAAAAAAAAAAAAAAAAAAAAAGGCTGAGACAAAGGAAGTATCTGCAAAACAAAATGGTCCGGTTGGTCTCTCAACCAGCAGGACCTAAACCTCAAAAAAAAGGGAAAAAAAAGGAAAAAAAAGGAAAAAAAAACAAAACCTTCAAAGCATTCCAAAAGAACCGATCTCTAATACCTAAAAGCTCCAACCCTAACCTATTATCATCTACTCGGGGTAAAATCCCCGTCAAAACCCTGCCTAAACCGGCCGCATGGTGGACCCTTGGTCCATCTACTTCTGGGCCCTCTCAAACCCCACCTGTCCCTCTTGCCTCCTACTGCGGATATCACAACCGAGTGCCCTGGTTGGTACCTATTGTCGTATCTAAGTAGCCAATCTGAGAACTGTAGCTTTCCTCCCTCCGTACTTTTGACCAACTTATCACTGTTTGCCCAAGTCCTTCCGAACCATCTCCTTCCTGAGCACGAATCTGCACTCTTTTGGCATTTCCTCCTCCAGTCTGCTGCAATGGCGAGTCTAGTTTGGTACTTAGACCCCTTGATCAGCTCCTTGTCTGTCATATCCTCCTTGTTGAAGAGCTGCTTATTCCGCCCCTGCCAAATTGCAGAAAAACCAATTGCTCTGAAAACCTGAGCTATGTAGCCCCAACCCTCCTCTAGACTGAGACTTTCGGGGACCCCACCAAGCAGGACCCAGGATTTGTCCCAGACTAGGGCCTTGTTCGATATTCTCTCCCATTGTTCAGACCACCACTTCCAAACCCGGGCTGAGACTGGGCAGTCCCACCAGATGTGTATGGTGGACTCGTATGGCCATTGGCATCTTCCGCATACTGTGTTAACTTCCATGCCTCTGGAGGCCAGCCAAACCACGGATGGCGTGGCTAGCAAGGATAGACTAGCAAGGATAGAAGCCAAAGGGTAACTGCCAACCTCTGGTTTGGTAGTAAGACCAGTTGCGTCCAACAACGGAGCAGGGACCGAATGATGAACTCTGGGTCCGTTTGCAGGACTCTAAGCCATCTTCCCACTCCCACTGTCTGAGGGGAAGAGTCTGTATCTTGTATACTGTAGCCCAGATCTGCAGTATACTCAATTAGCGGGAGGTCAGTGCCCTCCTTACCTCTCCCTCTCCAAGACCAATGTAGGGGGTCTGTGCTTAACGAGGCGATGGGTATACCATTACAAACTAATGCGGCTGACCATCCTGCAGTGTCGTCATAGGATTCCTGAACTCTGACTTGTGTGTCAGGACCGCTGGTGGGCAAATTCTCCCCTCTGATTCATCCCTTAGTTGCAAAATCGGAGACTTGAGCGTGCCCTGACGCTGCCAGCACTCGAAGGAGCGTGTACCGTCCGAGCTGATTTGAGTTAGCTTCCAAACTCTGTTGGTTTGCTTCGTGTTTGTCCGTGTACCAAGCTCCCGGGGGGTCTGTGCCCTCTGGACTTAGGATTTCTGCCCAGCCGACAGGTATCGCTTCTATTAGAGCCCTCCGCTTTTCCTCAACCTGTCTCAGGTTTCCTAGCTTGGTCCTCAGGTCGGAGTCGAGAATCCAGTCTCCCCTGAACTTATCCCAAATATCGCTAATATAAGAGACCCCTTTTTTGACCCACGCTCTATCGAAGCTGCCTGCTGCCCTGTCTGCTGCAAAGCAACAGGTGTCTTCTTTCCTTATTCTTGGGTTCTCGAAGAGGATCTGGGATAGGACTTCTTGCTTCGTCACCGGCTCTCGCCTGCAATCGGGTTTGACCTTCTGCCATGCTCTGAAGAAGCTGGTCCATAGTTCTGAAGAAACTGGTCTACGCAGGAAGGAGTCGATCCAGACACAAGTCCTGACGTCCTCAAGCCTGCTAAGGTGCCAGTTTTTCATCAGGGGCCGTTCTGCCAGCTGCAGCCAGTGCTCGTTTGAGGTCGACAATAGTGCCTTCATCACCCAAGAGGCCAGCATTGCCGTGTTCTGTTTGCCTGGGTCCTTCAACCCCAAGCCCCCTTCTTGTTGACTATGGCAGATGGTGTTCCACGCCACTTTAACCAGATGGCCCTCTGACTCTGATCCAAAAGGTTTCCAGATGAACCTCGACGCTCTTCTCTTCACCACCATTTTCGTCTTGCTTCCCAACGGCCTGATCTTCCGCACGTACCATAATAAAGCCAACAGTGCGGTGTTTATCACCAATGCTCTGCCCAAGCAGGATGGCATAGTCCAGATTGTCCTCTTGTACCATCTCCATGGCCTCAATTGCAGTGATAATGTTGATGAAGATCGATCGGCCCTTGACAAATGCTGCCTGGTCGTCCAGGATCACGTCCGACAGATACTGAGCCACTCTGCGCGCCAGGATTTTGGCAAGAATCTTGTAGGCCACATTCAAGAGTGAAATTGGACGCCAGTTTCGAATTTCGCTCTTGTCTCCCTTCTTATAAAGTACTGAGATGATACCGTTGCAAGCGTTCTTTGGGAGTTTCCCACCAATAAGGACTTCGTTGTAGATTCGTACCAAGTCCTTCCCTATTGACTGCCAAAAGATGGAGTAGAACTCCACAGGCAGGCCATCGTCACCTGGAACCTTCCCTTTAGCCATGGTGCTGAGGGTGGTCCTCACTTCCTCTTCTGTGATAGGTTTGTCCAGGTCTAGCCGACCATGCTGAGGCAGTCTTGCCTTCAAGTTTTGCCAGTGGGAGCTGTTGGTCGCTAGGTTCGTGTCTGCTCCTTCCTCTGGTCTTCTAGAAGTAAGAATGTCTTGGTAGTAGAATGCTGCGTACTTGCATAGGTCCAGAGGTCTGCTGGCCACAGGTTCCGAGTTGCAGAACGGGTGTGTCAGTTCCTTCATTGGCTGCGCAGATCTCCTTGGCAGCGGGCGCTGAAACCATTCCTTGGATATTTGGTCGTAAACTGTCAGACCCTTGACCTTGAACCTCTCTGCCTAAACCTCCTCTTTCCTCTGCTGGATCATGTCCCACTCGCCCAATCTCTTTGCCCTTTCCTTCCCCCATACTACCTCGGATATCGGGTGTGCAAGCATGCGTATCCCTGCGCATTCCACCTTCTTCCTACACAGTCGTTCTTCTTTGTTAGCGCAAGGAGTTTTGAGAAGGCATTGAGCATGTTGGAGATAATCTTCGAGCCAATTGTTCCTTGCGAGCTGTCCATCTCTCCCAGAATTCTATGATCCACTGTCTGATGTTTGGGTCGGCCAGATTTTTTGTGTTTAACCGAAAATAGCCTCTCCCCTTTGCTTGTTCCTCCCCAATCCGAAAGTCTACCACGGCCGGACTATGGTCTGAGAGGGGGTGATTAACATTGTCTATTCTAATCAGAGCTTCCAATCCGGCTTCACAGGTCAGAATAAAATCCAGGCGTCTCCCTCGACCTTGATGAGAGAACCTTGAGTGGGTGTGTTAGTCTGTATGGGTCATGCAGACAGTGGTCTGTCATAAAATCGGCTGGTGGCATAACGACCTTAGCATTATCTCTCACACCTATCCTTTTGTTGTCGTCTAGGGACTGGTTTCAATCATCGGAAATAATTAACCTATCCACGTCTGGCAGGCAGTACGGGAGATCCTTCAAGAAACACTCACGCTCTTTTTTGTTCACTGGTGTGTATATCGTTGCGATTGCCCATTCTTCTGTACCTACTTCCAGCTTCAGCCAAGCCCATCTCCCCCATAAGTCTACGTAGTAGTCTATGATCTGAGGGCTCAGATCTCTATGTATTAGAAGAGTGACACAACCACTAGAACCCTGGGCTGGGGACCAGATCTGCGGTCCGTCCCACCGGTTACCCAGGTTCCGCACCTTTTCTTCGTTAAGTTTCGTTTCCTGGATGCACATAACAGAAACACGATTATCATGGATCCATTTCTTTAGTCTCTACTTTTTCCTCCTGCCTGCAGTGTCCCCTAGCCCGCGGACATTCCACGTGGCTATTGTTAGTTTAACCATTAATTCTAACTCCTCCCGCCAATTGGATGTGGGACTCACCCGACCTGGACTGATTGCCCGTTCTCGTTAGTGTGTCTACCGGCCACGGTTGTGTCAGAGTTTCCTTCACAAAGGGCGAATCCAAACGCTTATCTTTATGAAGTTTGATCTTCAGTTCAACGAAACATTCTGCTGACAGCCGTGGGGCAATCGCAATTCAGCTCAAATCCTGTTTTCTTCCCTCAGCAAACCACACTAACGGAACCAGTCTCAGACCTAGCCTTTCCAAGTTGTTCAAGTCATCCGTTGTGAATCTCGCATCGATCAAAGGTACAAACAACTTGACCTTGTGCTTGTCAACTTCCGTGATGATTCTAGCCATTGGACAGTTTGGAATCAGACGTGCAACGAAATATTTCAAGAACAGTGACTCCAGGGCAAGTGCGATTACCTGTGGGGTGGGCACATCAAAGACTTTTTGAGAGAGCAGTGTGAAAGGACTCGTTGTTGTGTGCCAGGTGATGATCCAGAGCCCATTCCTGTTTGCCGTAAAAGGGTCTTTACCCGATTCAGCCCCTGTTCGACGAAAGCAGCATATTGGGGTCCCTCGCCCAGAGCCCAATTCGTGAAAGCAGATCAAAAGACATGTTCTCTGGGTCAAAAGTCACATCCTGGCTAAAGTAAAAACAATGCCCAAGGTCATGGTTGAGCCCTGGACGAACAGTCATCATGTTTGGATTTGGGGGTCACATCTGTTCGCCAGAGGCAATGCAATGTCTATTGAAACAAGGGATGTGTCTGTACATACAGTCAATGTGTCTGTTCGCCAGAGGCAATGCAATGTCTATTCAAACAAGGGCACTTGTGCGCTATAGTGCTGGAGAGGCGCTGGCTGAAGAAGAGTTGTGCCAGGAAGAAGGGAGGCTGGGCGCTAGCTGCAGGGAAGCCATAACTGCGCCAGCCTATGTTAGTGGTAGGAGAGATAGTTAGTAGTGGGATATCAGTGAGTTACATTCAGAGTAGATCTTCGTAGGTGAGAGTGTGCATACATAGTGAAAGGAAGAGAACCAAGACAGAGTTATTGAGAGAGAGGAGAGCAAGAGAGAGAGAAGACAGGGAGTGAGTCTGGACATGGTGGACACTTCCCTGTTGGCGCCACATTTGTGAAGGGAAGGAGGACGCTGGCTGAGCCAGGTCCCACGTTGTTGTATGACGAGGGAGACTTACCTCTTGTTAGCGCCGAACTTTGGAACTCATAATACTCTTTGTATTAAGAGACATTGATAATATAAGCTGCGCTACTTGGTTCTTATCTCATCTCAAGATGGTTTTGTGTGAGTTCCCTTTGTTCGTGTGGTGACATGTATGCATGCGGGTTGATGCACTTGAGCAAGCTGTGAACAGTCAGGTTCCTCGCAATTCTGGTATCGGATCAGATACTTGTTGTACTCACTGCGCTGGCATGAGTTAGGCCGGCGAGAAGAAGAAGAGCACGCTGGCTTGTTGATGATGCTGGCAATGGTGGAAGAAGAGGTGGTTTGGGATATGGGAGCGGAGTAGGCCTAAGAGGAAGCGGCAGAAGTGATACTTACCTGGAGCGTGGAGCGCGGAGCGACGAGGAGTCTTCATCGACGATCGCTGCAAAAGAGAGAAACACCCCTTTCCCCTTACCTGGCTGCATGTGTATGTGCATCTCTACTCCTAATCCTCTTTGGGGTCGCTGTTGCTGCTGTCAAATCAAGTCACGAGGTCTGTAGCCTGGATGATCGAGGTCAAAGGGTCTGGTCACGTCAGGATCCAGAGTGATTAGAGTCCTTCTATCTTCTACCCTCTAGTCTGAAGGCTGCGCTGTAGTCAAGGGAAAAGTGTGCTGGGAGATGGTGGCAGTCTGCCACGTCAGTATGCAAGTCCGATATAAAGCATAACTAAACTGGGAAGAGATAAGTAGGGATCGAAGTATTGCCCAGACATCTGAACGAGTACCACTCCAGCTCTACCTGCGCATAAGGACAAACAGACAGGGTTAGAGAAGAGGATAAAAAAAAAGAAAAAAAAAGGCACAACATTCATCACCAGACAAGATTAGTCCAATACCTGAAGTTGACAATAGACAGCAAAGAAAAAAAAACAAAAGTCTTATTGTATATCCCAATTCTGAAATTCGTTATTGAAGCAGAGACACCCAGAGCCTCAAAAAAAAAAAAAAAAAAAAAAAAAAAAAAAAAA